TCTTTCCTGTTCATCCTAGATGAACAGGTTATGAGCCCAAGAAGCTCAGACCGCTGCGCCATGGACTCCGCAGGTTCTGGTATGGAACCGAACTATGGGGCAGGAGAGAGCCAAGAGGTTTCTGGCAGCGGGGTGATCCCCGACTTGTCGGACGAGAGTGCCGCAGATGCAAGTCGGCGAGCTGTGCAGGGAGTTGGTCTTGGACGAGATGTCAGGACTGCAACTGGCCACAGCTCCGATGAGCAAGAGGCGGCGGACATCCTAGCTCAGGCACAGGACTTGGAGCCAGAGTATGACTTCGAGTCAGCCGAAGGGGGTGGTGTTCCCTCGCCTGAAAGGGAGATTGAAAGTCAGGAGGCATCGTCTGGTGTGTGGTTCCAGGGCTCGGACGAAGGTCGTTATGAGAGAGCTCCTCGAGGCTTGTGGGAAAGACCTGGTCGGGATGAGCGGCAGGAACTTCAGAGAAGTACGGTGCGATCTGCTCCAGAAACTGCGAGAGTTAACGGAACAGCTGGCTCGGGAAAGGGTCGAGGGAATCCGTCTGGTTTTTCTGGCTGGGAAGAGGCTGGATTTGAGATGACGACTGCGCGAGACACTGTGAGTGGAAGACAGGGGCATGTGGGACCGAGTGTAGGAAGCTCTAGTGCCGGCGCACAGCCGACGCGTGAGCCACTGCTTGGTGGACTGACCCAGTCTGAAAGGGGTGTTTGGAGACGCAGCTCGGACAGAATGGAGAACCTGGAGATCCTTGTTGAGAGGCTGTTGGATCAGAATGAGCAGTTGCTGAGGGAGCGAGCCGATCATCAACTGAGGAATTTAAATGATTGGGACGTTAGCAGAGTAGGTTCTGTACATAGCGAGGGAGGAACTCGAGGTGGTCTCGAGGGTCTCACTGAAGGTAGGTTTGAAAGGGTGTCTGGGGAGTTACGAGTTGGTACCGGTAAGGGTATAGGATCTAGTGGTGATGAGATGTGGGCCCCAACCCAAAGAACCTTCAGGCCTCCATGGACTAGCTTCAGTGGCCAGAGCGAGACAGTAGCTCCGGCGCTTCCAGCTAAGGGACCAGGAGATCGGTTCCTTGCAGCTACAAGGGCCTTGCAGCAGTTGCACTTGGATGATCGTCAGGAGAGTGAAGCTCTTGAGGTCGAGATGTCGGAGAAGCTACTGCCGTGGCCTGTCCCAACTGCCACGAGTGGCGCAGGAATGCCTCAGTTTGATAGCGTGACGCGTAATAATGATAACCTTCAGGGTGTGCAGCCTGAGGGTGGAACCGTGAATCAGGACCCTAAGCCGGGGCATGAGAGAACTGAGTCTGGTTGTAGTCCAGCTACGGTTACTGTGATGATTAATGGTGTGCCGAGGCAAGGGGTCTATAATGCAAGGGGCGAAGTTGTGATTCAGTCTGAGTCGCCTAAGTACTATGCGATCCAGGATGATAGGCTGGATGTCCATGATGGCAGAGGAGAAGGCAGCCTTCAGGAGCCGGAGCACAACCATCCCCGTAATCCCTTTGGGTCTAGGGCTGCTTCCCCTTTTAGAACGGTGGTTCAAGTAGGAGAGGGTTACACCCAGCACCGCCTCCTCCTCCTCCACCTTCCCAGGTAGGACCAACTGCCGAGCGACACGGGCCGGATCGGGGTGTGAGATCCGCTGCTAGGTCTCCAGGGGGTTATAGGTACGGAAACACTAGGCGACCATCGCGGTCACCCAACCCTAGTCCTCCCCGAGTTCCTGCTGCGTGGTCAAGTGTGGCGAATGCTTCGCCAGCAACTCCAGGAGGTACCAAGGTCCCTAAGCTGCCTCCCCCTGTAAGTCCCCCGGCGATTTCCTCAGTGCAACCTGAAGTAGCAGAAGGTACAGGCGATACCGGAGGTCGTCAGACGCTAGAGGAGGGAGACGCCAAGGACTTCAGACCAGGAGAGAGGACATTGTGGGAGTTACCAGTTCTTGGACCAGTGACAGATCCTAACCCTGCAATGCGTTTCAGTGATTGGGTTCATCGGGTGACCCCATTCTTCAACGACCTTGCTCCCAGGGGACACGAATGGTGGCAGCGTGTGCTGCAGGAGGCAAAGCTGGAGTATGATAAGTGGTGCAAGGCTAAGCCGCTTGAGAGGTCAAAGCTGCTGTGTCGACCCAGTGCCATTCTTCAGTTGGAGAGGTTTGTCAGGATTGAGGCTAGGGGTGTAGCTATGCTGACTAAAGCCCTTCCTTCTGCGCTGTATGAACAGGCCTTGAGTCTGAGGAGTGTAACCTGCACATGCCTGCTGTTCCTCACGATGCGAATGTTTCAGCCAGGGGGACTGTCGGAGAGGTCGGAGCTCTTGAAGGGGTTGACAGGTCTGAACGCTTGCGATTCCGCTGGGGGAGCTGTTGTAACACTTCAGAAGTGGTTTCGCCACCTGGAAAGGGCTAAGGCCATGGAGATTAGCGTGCCGGATAGCTCACTACTGTTGGATGGAGTAGATAGGTGCATGAAGGGCGTCCTCCAGGCCCATCCAAATCTTCTTTTTAGGGTCCAGGCTATTCGCATGCACCTTCAGTTGGATACGACGCCGTCACAGGAAGCGGTTGAAGAGTATACCCGTGCTCTTCTGGCAGAGATGGAGCTGTTGTCTGTGTCTAATCCAGAGGCTGCAGCTAAGAGGCAGAGGGTTGCATCAGTGACTCAGGTAGCCGGGGCGGAAAAAGGAAAGGGAAAGAAGGGTGGCAAGGAAGGCGAGACCCCTCAACCAACCGCGGCTGGAGCTGGCAGAGGTGGCAAGGATTCGCGCAAGGTGTGTCCTGCCTGGGGCACTGATGCAGGCTGTCCTCAGGGTAAACTGTGCTCCCTAGCACACTTACCAGAGAAGCCAGGTAAGTGTTGGGTTTGTGGAGGAGGCCACCACAAATATGAATGCCGAGCCCCCGGAGGAGGCAAGGCACCTAAAGGCGAAGCTGCAGCCGCAGAGGCCGGACTCGATGAGGGCCAGAAGGGGAAAGAGGGGAAAGGAAAAAATGGGGGAGGAAAGAACAATGCTAAGTCTGCGTCTACTCCCACACAAAAGGGGGGTCACAAGGGCGGGGGTGGACAACAGGCTGGAATATCCGAAGCGGCCATCAGAGAGGCCGCACAGATCCTCCAGAGTCTTAGACTGTCAGCTGTGCAGTGTGACCTGAGGAGCGCATCGGAGGTCCTTGCTCGAGCTGGAGAGCGTGGCAGGAGGGGGCTCATAGACGGGGGAGCTACCTCGTGCCTTAGAACGGCGCATGGGGATGAGCTTCTGCTCCCTACTATCCCAGTGAAGCTGGCATGTGGCAGCTGCAACCTACATGTAAACCAGTATGGTACATTGCTCAGTGACACAGTCGTGTCCCCAATTCTATCGGTGAAGGCTCTGTTGAAACTTGGCTACAGAATTGACTGGGACGCGTCGAGGTGCAGGGTGTATCACCCCAAGTCTGGGGATCTTGACGTTGACACAACATCGGGGTGTCCTGAGGTAGATGAAGGCCTTGCGCTTCAGCTCATAGAGCAGTATGAGTTGTATGTTGGCCAGCACGACTTGCGCAGTGCCAGGTTGAAGTGCATCGTTGAAGACTTGAGATCAAAGGGATCCCGAGATCTGATAGAGATGATGAAGGAAGGTGATGCACAGGCTGATGCTGCACTTAGTGTGTACGTGAGCAGAATCTTTCCTGAGGCAAGGGGTGATGTCCTTGATCAGTGCGTTGTGAGTCTGCAAGAACCCACTGAAGGCCCTCAGGCATGGAATAGGAGGACGAGACGGAGCTGTGCGAGGTCTCAGGGTCTTGTGGTTCATGCCTTCTGTGGCAAGGCCAGGAGGATGTTTGAGTCTGTGTCGAATAAATGGGGATATGCGCATTTGACGGTTGATGACTCGAGAGACTTACTTTGTGACTGCACATATCGCTACTTGCTTCAACAAGCCTGTGGAGGAAAGATCCGAGGAATCATTGGTGGTCCCTCAAGCAGAACCTTCTCCGCCGCAAGGAATCTGTTTGAGCACACAGGTCAAGGTCCTCGACCGATTAGGCTGCCCAAGGAGAGCATAGGGGGATATGGGGTAAAGGACTTGACATGCCAAGAAAGGGCGCAGAGGAATGTGGATGATGTTCTGATTTTGAGGTTCTTCACGGTGATTCTGGTGGCCTTTGCTGCCAATAGGGCATGTGGGTTGTCAGATCCTGCCTGCATAGTGGAGCACCCATGTCCGGAGAGCGAAGTTGGGACCCAACCCGGGGGATGGTGTAAAGACAACTATGTGTCCCTTTGGAGTACTCCGGAGTGGCAGGAATTGGAGCGAGAGACTGGCGTGAGCTGTGTGAGGTTCTTTCAAGGACCAATGGGCCACAAGAAGCGCCGACCCACTTGCCTAGGCACAAACGTAGACCCGGACCCAGTGTTGCTTGAGTGTGGTGTGCGCTCGGAGCACATTGCTTATGTGCCAGGATGGGAGTACGGGGTCATGACAGAGTTGTGGACAGAGTGGGCTCCAGGTCTAGCCCAGGCTGTGAGCAGCATGTTGCATCGTGCCTTTGCGTGTATGAAACACGAAGTGGCAGGTGTAGGTGGACTTAGGAAAATAGATCCGGGTTTCTTGCATCACCTCCAGCAGAATCACACCCCCTACAGGAATGACTGTAAGACGTGCTTGAAGGGATCTGCCAGGAGAAAGCAACACCGGAGAGTGCTGACTCCACAGTCTTGGTGCCTGTCAGTTGACACGGCGGGTCCATTTGTTAAGGGACGGGATGAGCATACCTCTAAGGCACGCTACCTGATTGTAGGAGTTCTGTCAGTGCCGATTCTTGCAGTCGATGGTAGGGATCCAGATGAGCCTTGTGATGCAGACCCAGGTCCGGAGGTTTCAGAAGGGGGTGTACTTGATGATGCGGAATGGCTTGCAGACGCACTTCCAGGTGCTGAGGATCATGATCCAGAGCTGCCGGCGAGGGAACTGGAGGAAGCACGGGGATCCTGGAATGAGTGGGATAAGCTCATCAAGTCTAGCCGTGAGGACTGGATGACTGAAGCTCAGGCAGAGTGCTTGCCAAAAGTTGAGATAGTTGATTTTGTGTACGTTGAGGCAATTGAGCGCAAGACCTACTCAGAGGTTCTTACTGCTGTTGGCCGGATGCATGCGCGCGCAAAGGCTGAGGGGTTTGACGTCCGACGCCTCCACACGGATAGAGGCCGGGAATACAATAATAAGCCACTTCGCGACTGGTGTGCTAGGCATGCAGTACACAAAACCCTAGCTGTTGCAGAAGAACACCAAGGCAACGGCCGAGCAGAGGGTGCAATAATGAGGATCAAGAACAAAACGAGAGTGATTCTCGAGGAGTGTGGTCCTGTCAAAACAGACTGGCCCATGGCAGCGAAGCTTGCAGTGCATGAACTAAAGAACGAGGCAAGACGTAGGCTTAAGATATCGGTCCAGCAGTCCCTTCCGTATGACACGCGCGTCCAAGTTATCAGTCGTAGTTGGAAGCGGGAGGCATGGCAGCCAAGGACCGTGACAGCCTATGTTAAGTGCCCGTCCGCAGACATGTCTAGAGGCTGGGTTGTTGCCACTGAAGATGGGAAGCTGTTCACCACGGGAAAGCTGTTTCCCTCGGTGGATCAGGGAAAGGTATCATTCAGCAGTACTGGAGTTGCGGTGGATCTTGATGCTCCTGACTACAGGATCAAAGGAAAATCGTCACTCAGGCAGCTTCAGGTTCCAGAGCAGGTGGATCAGCTCCACAAGGTTGATAAGTTGGCCAAGGAGCTGTTTGAGGGCGAGCGGTTTAGGCCTAAGGACCTTGCGGAGCTTGCGGTTGCCCTATCTCAGTTGTCCCAGAACAGCAGCAGGATGGTCAAGCGTGACACTGGGGAGCAGTCTGAGACAGTTCGGACTTGCAACTTTCTTGCTGGTGCCTTTTCATATGGAGGGATGACGGGGGTTAAGAGTAGTACCCGAGACCACCCCTGGGTTACTAGGTACCTCACAGCGTACTTGAACAACCATGCTGAAGGTTTGTATGCTGGTGTGGGCCTTATCCTTAATACCGAGCATAAGTTGCACAGAGACGTGCACAACCAGAAAGGTGTGTCCAATTTGATTTTGCCGGTAGTTACCTCTGGGGGAGGTCTGTGGATTCAAGATGACCCTAGTTGTCCTGATGCGCAGGCAGAAGCTTCTAGTGCAGCTAGCAGGGAGGTTTCAAAAGGAAAAATGGCTGTTGGTAGAGAGTATTTGTACAAGGCACATCAAGTACTGAAGTTTCAGCCCCACCTGTGGCACGAGTCAATTGCTGCGAGTGGTCAGCAATTGCTGTTGATTGGATATACTCCTAGAAGTTTGCACAAGCTGCAGTCATCTGATCGCCAGCTGCTTTGGCAGACAGGGTTCACGCTCCTTCCAGCATGTAAGGATGAGTTCTGGGGATATAGCCCTAAGGCACAGGTGCTGACTAGGTACCATCCGACTCCCAGGCGCCATATGTTTGCACCAGCTGTGAGAGAGTGGTTGCCGGTTGACAGAAAATGCATTGGAGACGTTAGGTACTGCGTGCAGCAATTTGTCAATGGTGAGCCAACTCGAACCACGCACATGTGGAGGAATGGCAGGGGCAAGGCATCCAAGCAGGCATGGACTGGATCTTCTTCGTTCAAACTCTGTGTACCCGATCCCACTGCTGACATCGGGGGGGGGTCTTCTGAGAGTTTAAAAACTTTGAAGCTTTCGGAAGTTAAGAAAGTTTTTGTGGAAGAAGAGGCTGAGTACCTTGATATGGTAGATGCAAGTTCACAGGTCGCGTGTTCAGCAAGCAATCAGGTGCCGTGTGCAAGTTCACAGGTCGCGTGTTCAGCAAGCAATCAGGTGCCGTGTGCAAGTTCACAGGTCGCGTGTTCAACAAGCAATCAGGTGTCGTGTGCAAGTTCACAGGTCGTGTGTTCAACAGGCAATCAGGTGCCGTGTGCAAGTTCACAGGTCGTGTGTTCAGCAGGCAATCAGGTGCCGTGTGCAAGTTCACAGGTCAAAGGGTCAGCAGGTAACCAGGTGCCAGGGGCAGTTCAGTGGGCCCAGGACAAGGCTCAGGGTACTTTGCAGTGCATAGGTGGGTCCGAGGTCCCGAGGGTGAGTAGTCTGCAGGTCAGATACAGCAGAAATCTTCTGGAGTCTAAGGGAATTGAACCTGATGTATATGAAGCAAGAAAGACGACTGTGTGTGATGAGTTTCCCAGCTGTTGCCCGACGTCTGTGGCATGGACATGCGTTTCGATTGAGTTGCGAAGGTTTCAAAGATTACTTCGAGAAGCAGATGAACTTGAAGCAGAGAGCAGTCTCGGACCGAAACTCTTGGAGGAGGAGTCCAGATTCTCGTGTGGATTTAGGGTTCCATGGCAGCTTCGGAACTTAGAGCCCTGTGACCCGGAGGGGTCCCATGATGGAGTTTGTTTCGAGTTGCATGAAGTCAGTTGGCCGATAGTGGCTGATGTATCTGAAGCACTGGATTGCGTTGCAAGACAGCACCGGGAAGTTCAAGACTTGATACAGGCCGCAGAGGACACTGGGGGTCAGGTTGAATCTGGGCGAGATGGACTCTACTGGAAGACGTTGGACTCGCTTGAGCGTGAGGGTCAAGCGCTTTGCAATCTTGAGCGTCAGCTATTGGAGTCGGCGAATCCTGTGATTCTGAGAAGTCTGTCAGCTGCCGAAGAGCTTAAGGCTTACAGGTCTGCAAGTGAGCCGGGGATTGAAAACCAGGACTCTGGTGTGGATGAGTCAGATGATCCCCCACCTCTTCAGACTAAGATTGTCAGCCAAGATCAGGTGAGACGAGAGGCAGAGAGATGGAGGCCAGCACTTCTTGATGAGTATAACTCTCTAGTCCAGAAAACACAGGCAGTAGAGGAGATCTCCGATGAGTACTACCGAAGACTACTGCAGAGTGAGGACACGGAGATAGAGCTTATTCCTGCCAAGGCTGTCTATGTGCATAAGCCGAACGGACGTCGTAAGGCTCGAGTGGTAGGGTGTGGCAATTATTGCGCAGGAGGGGACGAAGTGCAACGAGCGAATCTGTATGCCTCTGGTGCTGGAGCTGAAGCCCTTAGGATGGTTATTAGAAGGGTCACGCTCGAGAGTGACTGGTGCATTGGCACTGTTGACGTTCGGACTGCCTTCCTTCAGGCCCCGTTGCTTGAAAGCCGTCGCAATGGCAAACGTTTGGTGACGATCGTCAAGGTACCTACCATCTTGAGAGATACAAATATCACCCAATGTCGATACTGGCTGGTACAGAAGGCTCTGTACGGACTGGCATCGGCTCCCAAATCGTGGAGCAGTCACAGAGATCGAGTACTAACTGAGTTGAAGATTCCCTGCAAGAGTGGCCTACTGAGGTTGGTCAAGATGCCAGAAGATACAAATTTGTGGCAGGTAATACAGTATCCTGGTTTGGACAAGTTGGCAGAAGCCGATGGTCAGGAACCATCTGCAGTGGGACATCAAGTTGGCGTGATGGCCTTGTACGTAGATGATATCTTGATAGGAGCGCCAAAGTTGATTGCTGAGGCGCTTGTTTCAGGTCTACAGAACCAATGGGAGCTGTCGCCTACAGAGTGGCTGAACGAACCAGGAGATTATCTGAAGTATGCTGGTTTTGAGCTGGAGAGGACGACGGAGGGGATAAGACTTCATCAGGAGAGTTATGTTAAAGACTTGTTGGAGCAGCAGGCGGAAGAGATTCCTGGCGAAGAGAGAACTCCTGCTGTCAAGGGATACAACTGGGATGAACCAGCAACTGAAGCCCAAAAACAGATTGCAACCAAAAGGGCTCAGGCTCTTATTGGACAGCTACTGTGGTTGTCTGGAAGGACCAGACCTGACCTGGCCTATGCAGTCAGTATGGCTGCTCAGAAGATTTCTTCATGTCCAGCAGAAGCGGTGGCTAGAGCAGAACATTTGGTGAGATACCTGAGGGCGTCTCCGGGAGTGAGCCTTCACTACAAAACAGTTGTTGGGGGTTGTGGTCGCTGGAATCAGCTGAGGCATGAGCAAACTCCACTTACATTGGAGGTGTATACAGATGCTTCGTTTGCAGCGGATGAGCAGTGCAGGAGCTTTGGGTCTGTGCAGTTGTTTTGGGGTGGATCACTGATTATGTGGTCCGCTGCTAGACAAACCTTGATAGCTGCGCATACTGCTGAGAGTGAGCTGTATTCCTTGGCTGAGGGTCACCTGATGGGAAAAGCTCTTCGCCCCACGGTGGCGGCCCTGATGAATGTAAAAGATAGCGAGGCGACGGGACGTCTTTACTGTGACAACTCTGCGGCAGTTCAGCTGTGTGTGCTGGAGGCGGGATCTTGGAGAACAAGACATCTTAGACTTCGGGGGGCGATCATCAGACAGGACCTGGTTGATGAAGTTTGGACGCTGGCCCATTTGGACGGTGTCTATATGCCAGCTGATCTGGGAACAAAGCCAGTAGGACCTGCAAGGCTGGAAGATCTGATAAAACTGTGCGATTTGATGAATCCCTATGGCGAGCAGAATGATCAGGCTCCTAGACCAAGTGTGGCTGCAGTTCAGACGAGACCTTCAGGATTCGCTTCAACGTTGCTGGCGTTGTTGTTTCTGGCCCAGGCTGTGAGTGCAAACGCATGGAAGGTGGGTCCCGAAGAGCCAGTAGGTGCCACCTTGATGTTTGGTTTCTGGTTGGGGTTTGGAGTTGGTTGTGGAATGTGGGTTGCCACAAACCTGGGTAGGGTATTGGATCGGTGTTTCAGAAGGCCGACGGTTATGAGCTGTGGACCCCGACCACCTAGCGTAGTACCTGCTTCAGAACCCAGTATAGATGAGCCAGTTCCCTCTGCAGGAACTTCTCTCAATTCCAGCAGGGAGACCAACCGGAATGTAGATGCCGAAGAGGTGCTGATCCCACTTATCGGAGGAGGTCTAGGTACGATTCAGGAAGCCACTTACGATGACATAAGAGAAGCGTACTATGGTGAACTTCGACAGGCCTATGCAGCAGCTGATGAGGTTCCAGAGCTATTGAGAGAAGGTGTAGATCATCGAAGGGCGTTTTTGGGTTCTCCCCGAGCCCCTACTGTTCCACCACCACCAGATTTAGATGCAGTATATGTTGATGACCAAGTTCAACAGCAGCTGCTGGAGCCTTATGTGTATCAGGTTGGAGCTGCAGAGGGTGGCTTAGCCCAGGAGTCTGATGAGTCGGAACAATCGGACTCAAGCGGTGGAAGCACTACAATTGGGGGAGTCGAGGAACAGGCTAGGACTGAAAGTGAAGACAATGTTTCCCCTAGAGGCAGTTCCAATCTGAGCACTCAGGGTGGAGCATTGAGAATGGTAGCCCTGAGCGCTGCTGTCCTTCCACATGTTGCGAGAGGAGCTGATGCTCGAGTGATCGAGGCGGATGATGGAGCCTGGGAACTTTGGGCAATGCTCCTGTTGATTGTGATGGTGAGTGTGATGATAGGTGCGTTGGGAATTCATGTTGTGTGGAAGTATCTTGGAAGGGATGGATCCACAACACGAGAGAGCACTGACGGAGTCGACAGCGCAAATGAAAGGCTTGTAGAACGAACTCCGACACGAGAAAGAAAGGCGACAACAGTGGTTTCTTCTCCAGTGATTAATATTACCGTCAGCGGAAGCGTAGCGGAAGCGCGATGGGAAGTAGGTGATGGTCGTGCTGACAGTTCCACAGGTGTTGATGATGGGCCCGTTGGAAACCAGGCCTTTCTCAGAAGCACAAGGGGTATAGTTAGTGGTTTAGGAACCCAAGGAACCAGTGTGGAGGACCCAGCATCCATGCACATTAGTGGTTTAGGAACCCGAGGAACTAGTGTGGAGGACTCAGCACCCGTAGACCTTAGCGGTTTAGGAACTCGAGGAACCAGTGTGGAGGACTCAGCACCCGTAGACCTTGGCGGTTTAGGAACCCGAGGAACCAGTGTGGAGGACCGGAGTTCCGTAGACCATAAGAGGGTGGATCCAGAGGGACTTCGCGCTAGGACTAGGAGGTCAGTTGATCCAGGAACCACGATACCTAGAAAAGCCAGCAAGGTAGATTCCATAGGGACTGAGTCAGTTGGTGACCAAGTGAGGGGTGCAGATGTCCTTACGCCGTTGGAGAGAAGGGCCTTGCGTGCATTGGAGGTTGACCAAGGTGATTCTGGGGCAGGCAGTGCAAGTGCAGCGGCTGCTCCGATGTCAGGGAACTCTGCCAGTCAGGGTTGCTTTAGGATTCGTAGGTCGCTGGAGTCTCAGTCAGAGACTGGTCAGGTCCACCCTGAACGATCTGAAATAGTTGATGGCTGCGAACCAAGCGCGTTGCCAGAGCGAATTCCGTTGGATCGCTTTAGTAGACCGTACGGACTCAAACAAAGTGTCATTCTGAGTAGTCGAGGCAGTGATGCGCAGCCGTTTGTATACCTGACTACGAACGGTAATTGCCTGCACAGTGGAACTCGATGCCGAGCAATGCAGTACGCTAGTGCCCCGATACAGAGGAGCTTGTGCAAGTTCTGCTTCAGGGAACCAGGACTTCCATCGAGGAAGGACAAGGAGGGCAAGGATCGTATTGTGGCGTTTACTAAGTCAGGACACTACGTGCATTCCACTGTAGACTGCCAGTGCCTTGACCGTCAGGAGGAGTTCATGCACAGAAAGCTGTGCAGATGTTGTCAGTGGGGTTTCTGAAGGACTCTGACATGAGAAAAGGGGAGGCCCTTCGTGACAGCAGGCATCGAAATGAAGTGTTTCATTGGGGGAGTGAGCATGCTCCCGAAGGGTGTGAACACTGTGCTCTGTTGCTGAGCCATGTGGCTTGAAGGTTGTGGGGTTAGGCTTTGTCCGAGTAATTCCCCAGACACACTTACAAGTTACAGGTTCTCGGTAGCAGCAGTTAACTGCAAGTCTGATGTAAAGTTGTACAGCTCAGGTAGTTAACAGAATGCACTGATGTCGTTTGCTCCGTGGACCGGGAAAAATTCGAAGTGACGTCTGTTGCTCTTGCTCTTTCCTGTTCATCCTAGATGAACACTAATCATTAAGGCCCCTACATTAAGCCAATAACCCTACAAGCTCTAAATCCTGTAACCCTGCAACCCCTGGCACTGTAAGCCTACAACCCCAACAGCCTACACCCTTGCACCCTCAGCTCCAGTTCCGGACCCATCGTTCCACACTCAGGTCATAGGTTTAAGTCGGGGTCGAGGATTCAGAGTTCAGGAGTCCAGGATATACCGACTCGGATGATCTGTTCAGGGGTTATAGGACCTACAATGAACACCAGGAAGTTGGAACATGGGTTTAGGAGGATTGGTGCTAGGATCCCCTATATACTTTACCTCAGGGTCATGAGGATATTGATGTTCCACTTTCTGGCTTCTGCTGTATAGGATCATAGGATTTCGAAGTGTAGAGTTTCGGCATCTTGCATTTTGAAGTTCAGAGTCTAGGGTTAAGGGAGTCGCCATTCGCATCGTCCTTGTCGTCCCGTCCACGTCGCAGTCGTGCTGGAACGAGTAGTCGCCTTATCAGTGGTGCCAGTAGCTCGTATGCACAGTCTGATTGCTTGGATGCATGGCGAGTGTAATGAGCGTCTTGCGCTTCAGCTAACGGTCAATTTTGTCTTGCGGGCAAGCGGTCCTGGTTCGTTCATATTTCAACGAGAAACATAGTAGGTACTATAGAGTCATCACATGAAATCGCACACACAAGCTCACGTGTGCAGTATCCTGTTGCTTCACAGGCATTAAAGGACCTCAGCCGGTGATTCCAAAGCCCATGGAAGTCAGGACATCGTCTTCAAACGGGACATCTTGAAGGCCGTCCAAGCGACACTTTGCTGCAACCACCAGGGGTGTACGGACTGCGTTTGCGACGAAAAAAGCGAAAGAACAATCACCAGCGTTACCTATGTTGGGGGGTCCCCTTAGTATTATTTTAGTAGAATATGGGCCCCAAAACCCTACTACAAACATTAAGGCCCCTACTTATGCCCCAAGACCCGTGTTCTAATCCTTGAGGACCCACCGGCTGGCGCTTTCCATCCAGGCTTGATTAGTTTGCTTGCTTTTTGTCTTTAGGGTTTAGGGTTTAGGGTCCAGTTTGTTACTTGTCCTTGTACTTATGAATGTGTGTGACAGGTATAGTTAGCATTGGTACAGGTGGAGGCTAACTATCTGAGTTACTTGGAGGTTCATGGGTAGTTATAAGTTGGGTTATAAGTAGGGTAACTATAATTATAACCCATATTAGAGGACTTATAACCCTACTTATAACTACCCATGAACCTCCAAGTAGGTTGGAGACAATGCCCTGAACCCCGAAACTTAAAACCCCGAGCGGCTTGGCGAAGACTTGGGCAAGCCGACTCCCTACACTGAAACCCTAAAACCCTACAAGGCCCAAAAGCCCTAAACCCTTCATCCTAAAACCCTAAGGCCCTAAAACCGTAAACCCCTAGAGACTTTGAGGTACGTCGTGGCCCCGCTGAAGAAGAGCAACGTCTTCGCGAAGGCCAAGAAAAAGTCGGAGCTCCGACTCTTGGAAGCCTTTGGGTTCAGGGTTCGGGGTTTAGGCTTTGGG